CGACGGGTAGTAATTGACAGAAGTGCCTCGTTCAGTCGTCGAAAAGCCACTCTTTTCTTTCATTCGCGCGCCGCCCTTTTCTCCCACAATAAATCAACCGCGCCCGAACTAAACGCATTCACATCTCTCGGAATTGCTCTCAAACACGTTCGGTAGAGAGAAATGGCCTATATTTCTAAACAAATCTAGATTGATTTGTACCAAATGGTACAAATATATTTTAAAACACGAAAAAAGATTTAAAACTATAAAAAATAAAATCCACTCATTGTTAGACACGATATCAGTACTATCTATACTGACAAATACACATATTACAATAATTGTATAACAGTCAAATTACTTTAAAATTGTGTAACATAATTAAATATAAATATCTTTTTCATTATAATAACGTTTTTATCTTCAACAAAACGACAAAAAATAGCAGTATATATTCCTGATGTAATTATAGATATAAATGTCTTCTTTGAAGAGAATTTTGACCGTTACCGATTAAACGTGTATTTCGCATTTCTTACCGTCGCTGGTTACAAATTTCTCGATGAAAATTCGCGTAGTGAATCGCAAATCTCAATTTTCCTCGTTCAGCATCATTCGAGAGAGTACGAGAGTATTCGACACGAAGGGTTCGAGCGATTTCCTGCAGCTGTAAGCGTTTGCTTAATATCCAGTCTCGGATTCCCGTAATAGCGTAAAAATGTTTGCCCAAGAAGCGTCCGCTTATCTCGTCGCGCGTTCCTCTCGAATCCAGAGAGTAGTCCGTAGTCATGGGCGTCGACATGACTTTCCTCGGAATGGCAGAAATTTTCTTGAAAGAAAACTTGAAAACTTTTCTACTTTTTTTATTAATTAATGTCGACAGCTATACGCGTAATATTAACGTTAAACACGCGTATTGCATTTAGAGGGGGACCTGTGTGAGTGAATTTCAGTACTTTCAGTACCTTCCTATTAAGGCAAAATGGACTTTGCGAGGTTCGTTAAACCACAATGCGCTCTTAACGAGTTTATCACGTAGTTTGCACTCCTATAATTAACGATGAATTTCTCCGTTATATTTTTCACGCGAACTTGTTCCCCTATCCTAGAACAGAGTTGAGGGGTGCGGTGCACCCCGTTGCATTTCCCGGCGACGCCCATGACGCCCGACACGACGGTGTCGCGTGAATTGCGATCCGTCAACCTTCTCTCGTATCTTCCGCGTGTTTCCGTCGCGCCCGTGTATGTGTGACGTGTTCTTGCGCGTGTTTCCGTGTATAGAACACTTGGATTCCGCTAGAAACGACGAGAGAGGTGACGAGTATACCACGACGAGCGCCATTGTCGCTGTCAATGAAAAGGAAGTCGTATAACACGGGAAAATCCTATCGTCCGACACCAGGAAGGAAACGCCCGTAGCTTTTAAAGAAAAAGAGAGAAAGAGAGAGAGAGAGAGAGAGTGTGTGTGTGAGAGAGAATGCTCTGCGGCACCCCGCTCCCCTCCGCTCCCACGCGTTCCCCCGCCCTCGATTTATACCAAAATTATGCCACAATTTTGTATTATCGGACAGCATCGGGGAGAGAACATTAAAGGACGAAGGCGGGCTGATTTATCCCGGAATTATTCCCGGCTCCCGTATTATTCGCGTCCTTGTGTTATTTCAGTGAGCGAGCCCGCCGGTTGATTCGGCTGGATACGCGTGAGCGATGAAAAATGTGCGGCCATGCGAAAAGTACGATGATAAACGCGGCATGAAGCGTACAGAAAAGGGTCAACGCCGCCAATCGCGGCTTTGGTGATTAATCGTGGCGCCGGGGATTTTCGAGATAGGTTTCAATATCGCGGATCAGTCGAGCGTATGTTGTAAACGCTAATAAGTTTAGACGTGATGTTTCTTATCAGCCCTCTCTCTCTCTCTCTCTCTCTCTCTCTCTCTCTCTCTAGCGTACTATTAACAAACACTTTTTCATTTGCCACTCTTGTATTTCGATAAATACGAACGAAAATAGAAACGTACACAGACAAACATACACATACTTTAGTCTGATATCTCTAAAAAGAATTAATCGCAATTTGTATAGAATTACTTTATAATAATGTTAATTAATGTAACATTAAAAATAATACATATATATGAGAAAAATGTATCGTTAATATTGTAAAATTAATATATTATATATATATATATGTTAGTCTCCATACAATAACATACTTGTCTATAATTTTTTGATGCCAATAAATAGATAATATGATTTGAACGAGATAATAGTTGGAATGTCAATCCTCTCTTTTCATGATTTTTAAAAGATTTAGCATGTTATACAAAAAAATATAATCGCTAATATATAATCATAATATAATAGAGCTATATTTTATATTTTAATCTGCATTTAAATGCAACCAAGAGATTTATTATTATTAAATGCTTTTATCTCTCATTCTTTGATCATGAAAATATTTATAAATTCGCTTGATTAAATTCTTTTGTAGATTTAGCATGTTATACAAAAAATATAATCGCTAATATATAATCATAATATAATAAAGCTATATTTTATATTTTAATCTGCATTTAAATGCAGCCAAGAGATTTATTATTATTAAATGCTTTTATCTCTCATTCTTTGATCATGAAAATATTTATAAATTCGCTTGATTAAATTCTTTTGTTATTTTAAAGAGAATAATAAAATTATTTTAATTATCATAAAATAATGAATTTACTGTGGCATACATTGTTTTTATATTGAAAGAAAACACGTTAAGCAAATATCATCGAAACGTAGTTATATCGCAAACATTTCCGCATAACCGAAAGTACATGATTCCAACCGATATCCATCGGTGCGTGATCCACGAAATTAGTCACGTGTCGCTAAACACTCGAGGCACCGATCGTGTAATTTTTATGGGAATTTTCCGGTGGATCTTTTTACACGATTGAATCCATACGGGGTTTTATCCTGTATCATACGGACAGTCGATTA